AGTGTGACTGAACTGGCTTGGCTCAGTTCAAAGCGATTAATTTTGCATAATAGTTACCAATTATTATAACAGATGGAAAAATGAGGAGAGAGGAGTGCACAAATATTGGAGAAGTAGTTTTGGATGCCTTTGAATGAAAATGTCTGTATAAAGAGGAGACAGCATGCTATTATGGCTTATTGCTTCACATTGCTTCTGGGAAAGAGGATCTACATTCCTTATGTGTCTGCATCTTGAAAAAAATACATTTATAAATTTCATAACAAAGGTTTAGCAGGTGAATATGGCAGTTATAGAGTTATTATATCAACTATATATATATAACAGAAAATTTATTTACAGTGCAACCTATAAATCCTGTGAAACGATAGGATCCTCGTTCCTCAGGGATTCATTCTCTTTCCATCTTGTTACAGTGAACATCTGAGGTAGACAACTGCACTGAAAGGGAAGGAGCAGGAGAGGGCTGATGATTCACTAATTGAGGTACTACAAGAGGCCTGAATCACAATTAGGTGCTTTTTCCTCTATTCTGTGCCTCACTGTCTGGCTTTGTGACTTAGGAACAGAAGCACCATTAAAAACTATTTGAGCTTTTATAATCCAGAAGGAAGCTGTGATGATGAGTTTGTAGTAACAGTCCAGTAAAACCACAACACCTGATGTAAATGTACAATTGGACAGACAAGAAGTTCGGACAGTTTTAAGTAACTTGCATTTGTATTTTAGAAGGAGCAGTGGAGTTTCTTGGCCTTGCATAAGTCTATTTAAAGGTCTTGTAGCAAAAGTTGCCTATTATTTTTGCTATCATTCTGTAGGTTTTGAGTTTGTATTTTTCCTTCTTGCATTTCTGTGTACATATTCCTGATAACTTCTGCAATAGCAGCTTCTTCTCTTTCTTAAAGTTTTAATCAGTGGTAAGTTACCAAGATAGAAAAGATTGGCATAATCTCCATACCACGTTCCTTGAGTATTATCTAGGCTTTTGTTACCTATTTCAATGAATGCATAATTCTTCATACTACATTCTGCACTATAGAAAATGGAGCAATGATGGTAAAATCCTGCTTTGATTTGACATTTTGGCAGTGGCTGTAGCCATAACACCTGCAAAATTTAATCTGCTGCACTTTTGAAAGCATGTGTTTACATTTTTTATATTAGTTTTGTGTGTCAGTTCTGCATAAAATCAACTATTAGATAAATGCTTTCTTTAAAAAATAGCCACAGAATCCCTACCTAATGTTCTTTAAGCTAGAGTATTTGACATAATATCACCTCATTTGTAGATCATGGGCTAATTCTATTACAGGATGTAAGACATACAGCTCCATATCTTGGGGTTGGGATGTAGTGTGTTCCTGTTATGTACTTGCATAACATAGGGCATTTCCATGACATGAGATGATGTAAACCACTCATCTGATGTCCAGGCTGAGATGTAAATGCAGAAGTATTGACAATAATGGAGAGTTTGTATCCAATGCAAAATATGACATGTAATTATTTCTAGAATATAGACTGTACAGATTTTAATGTATTTACTATATGCTCTTTTCCAGCACATCCTCTAAGCCTGTTATTAATACTTTCAGTTCTAATGCTACTCATAAAATATATGTTGGATACTTAAATATCAGATTTAGTTTGGATGCTTATAAACTTTGGTATTAGAGAAAAATAATCTCTGCTTTAGTTCCTTTAAAAACAGTAAGGCTACATTAGAAATGAATTTGATTTATCTTTGTAGTGGTTTCAATATCAGAAACAAAAGATGCTTTGGGATGAAAGCTGGATTATAGACTTTGCCTGCATCAAAAAAGGTTAGTAACTTGTCATTTTGATAATGTGATGTATTTCCTTATTAATTCTGAGAAATAATCTCAATTATAAGTACAGCTTCATATCTTACAAAAGGTGAACCAGTTTGTAAAACACATGCAGTGTTTCATCCCTATAACCTCTATGAGCTGATCACTAATACTTTTGTTTATTGAAGCTTTGATGTCAAAATTATTTTAAATAGTTTTCTTCTTTTTATTTATGGTGATTTGTCAATTGACAAAGGGAAGCCTACCCCAAAATAAACAGATAACCTCTGGACTTGGACAAAATAAATTACCATTGATTGAATGGACGTATCATTTTGTATGATTGGTCTCACTAAGTTGCCCTGAAATCACACAAATATAATTTCTCTCAGTGTATGCTATCTGTGACAGACTTGCTGCAAAAAGTAATTCATTGTGACCAGAGGTGTTTTTTTCTAATTTTATCTTCTGGATATAAACTATGTTTTAATTGGTTCCAATTAAATAGGTTAAGAATAAATTCAGATGTTATTATATGCTTTACCATGCTGCACTTAAAAGAGGTATAGATTATTTACTTTGCTGTTCCTTGATTTAGTGTTCAGAAGTAAAACAGTATCTAGACCCTCAGAATGGGTAAATCTGTAGAAAACTGCTGATGTTGGTAGGTCTGTGCACTCTCTCACTTTCTATCTCTGTGAGGAATTGCTAGGCAGATGTCTGCTTTATCTGTGTCATGTTATTGTGTCGCGAGTAGAAATGTCAAGATGTTCTTGTGATAATGTATAGTAGAGATACTTTCAGCCTTAGACTTGAACATTAATTTCTGTATAGTTTTGGTATGATACCCTTCTTGCTGTAAAGGAGAGATTTTGGCTCAGAAATTAATTTGATTGCATAAACTAAACTGAATTTCAGTTCAGATTTGTGAAAACAGGAAGTGTCTTTCAATATAGCAAAAAGTAACACAAGCAAATTTTCAGCTGATAGTGAATTAGAAAATGTCATCAATATCTCACATGAGGAAAAACAATAGAAAAAGACTGAGGGAAATTAGAAACATGATCAAAAAATAACATATTAAAAATTAATTTGAAAAATTCAAGAAGAAAGACATAGTTTTCTTGGAGAGAAGCCTGCAAAGCAACAATACTGTTTAAGACCTAAGAGTCATAATTAACATCTGAAGAGTAATGACGACTGATAATATTATGAGATTTGGTAACAAGGAGTATGTCTTCTCTGGACAGAGCTGTTCAGAGCTACTCATATCTAAATGGAAACAAATCATCAGTGCTGTACCCAGGGTATGTAGCCCATACTATGAAAAACTACACTTATTTTTTGAAGATAACTTATTTTTTTGCCCTATCGCACCATATATATGAATATATATATATTTATATCCTTATATTCTTATATTCTTATTCTCAAAGCTGTCTCAGGGATATCTAATATCTGGGTGGAATGCTGTGAAAAGGTTTCAAATGTCAATGCAATTTTGAACTGCATATGGATAGTACTATGGTGTGGGAACATGGCAGTCCTGATTCACTGTGAGATGCTGAACTTTCTCAGCAACACTTTATTGGATACTTTTACCAGGGAGAGTTGAGAGGTCTCAGAATTCTGATACTAATTGGCTAAATCTGGATTTTAATTGAAGACATGATACATAATTCATTAAATTTGTTTTGAAGTCCATTTTGTTATCTCAGCAACACTTTATTGGATACTTTTACCAGGGAGAGTTGAGAGGTCTCAGAATTCTGATACTAATTGGCTAAATCTGGATTTTAATTGAAGACATGATACATAATTCATTAAATTTGTTTTGAAGTCCATTTTGTTACCTTGAGCTGGTCAACAGACATTAAAAAGCATACATTGAGATCACTGGGTGTTTTTCATCTGACTGTATTGTTGCTCTTCTCTGACTTCTCTGTGGTGTCAGAATCACTTCCCACATGCCTGTACTTTACAGTCTTCTAGGAGCTCCAAATAGACTTGTTAAAGTATGGCACAGGGCTTGCTTTTCTTCCCTGGCTCCTGTCCTCAGCACCTATGTAGCAGCAAGGGCTAATCATCTCAACAGCAGAGAAATTAAAAAAAAAAGAAATTAAAAAGTCCTGAGGATAAGTGAAAAGATCTCTGGCAGTGAATCACCTTTGGAAATTTTTTACTTTTTATGCAGCAGTCATATTCTAAGCAATGGCTTTCTGTCTTAAATGTTAACAAGAGTAGCCGAGATGCAAAGGTTTGGAGAATTCCCTATATTTGTTTGCCTCTGGAGCCTTCACCTGTGCAATAATAGGTATCTTCAGGTGCCTTTTCTCATCCCACATCCCATTTAGATTGCATCATTTGGACAGCAACAGGAAGCATGATGACTGCTCCCCCAGCACCCAGTGACTCCAATGTCAGCTGTATCACTGCTCTGAGCTCCTGCACGGCAGCTGCCAACACATCCAGGAAACAAAACTTCACCCAAACTGGGACATAGTAAGTCAATATATTACATTTACTGCAGTACCTCCTATATTATAGTTTCACTTGGATTTCTGGTTCATTCCACCTTACTGTTAGGAGGCAGTGCAAAAGCTTGCATTTATCTCGTTAGGTCAAATGCGGTATGTTAAGATCATTATCTGGCTTCTGTACCAAATATTGTCTGTGGAATTTTTTATGTGCCAGGCTTGTGGTATGGTTGTCATTTCTCCTTTTCTCTTAGGGACTTGTTAAAAGGCTGTGGGTGCATAACATGTCCTGCACCTGTTGATGAATGGCCCTTGCCATTTAGATGTATTTGGAACCCAGGCTTTTATGCAGCCCTTTTTCTAAAATGCAGACAGAGCACAGCTAGGTTTTTTGCACTAAAGAATATCATCCTATACAGTAGGACATTAGAAATCTTGTCTTTAAGTCAGCTGACATGACCGAAGATACAGTGTTTCACCTCTGGATCACATTATAAAGATGCACATCATGTAACTCTATGGGCAAACACTATAACCATATCCTGCAATCCAGACGCAATTTTTCCCATAAAAAATTATAATATAATATATCGTTTGGATACACAGGGCAGGATCTATGCTTTGCAGGAAAAGAAGCTTACTTTGAATCATTGGCTGGGGGGGCAGCCGTCTTTTCAGCATAGATTTTGGAAAATCCCAGCCACTTCATTGATGAAACATTGTGTCCATCATTAGTCTTTTACAGTAGTAAAATGGTGACATTTTCATCATGATCTTCCTCAGATGATTCAGGGTCAAAAACATTCCTCAAGAGTGAAAAATGTACGAACAGGGCATTCAGTCTCATCGGTGAAGCACCTACAACTGATACGCCACACCCCATACTCTCTATTTATGTGGTGATCATCCCCGAAATTCCTGCAGATATCTCCATTGGATTGTTTTACTCTAACAAGGAAAACTGCTTTGCTATCTATCAAAGTCAGCTGCTTCATTGCCAAGAATGCTTACCCCCGAGAACAAAGGCATGTTAAATATCATTGAGGGATCTCCAAAACAGTAGACAGAAGTAATGCGTACAAGGGATGTGACTGTATTTGTTTCTCTAGCTCTGACATTTTCTTTGCTGCTAGTGCATCATCCAACTGCCTCAACTGTCCCTAACACTCATATTTCAAATGTTGTCCACAGATCAAGATTGCTTGAATATAATCACTAACGCTTCCTTTATCAATAGAAACAAGACCTGTCTTAGATTCAGATTTGCAACCACATACGGACATGCTTAAAATCTGTGCCTCATCTCTAGAAATATGAAGCTGTCTGCTGCAGAAAATATATCCAGTCCATTTTTATAGCATTGCGGGCTTATAAAGTGGACCTAAAACTCGGTGAACAGCATTTTATTCTGTTTCAGTGATGGCAGAACAGTGGCCATAAAGAAAATAATGAAGAAGGCATTCGTGCTGTCTAAATCCATACGTAAAGAAGTAAAGCAAGTGAGGTAAGAAGTGAAATCTGAGAAGTGTATGTTGTTTTATTTTTACATTGGTTCTTTAGGGTTTAAAATCTTTCCAAATTTGACCGTAAATTCATAGTCTTCTTACTTTCACACTTTGCTTTGACACGGGTCAAAACCTCCTTATGAACATTTTTTTCTCTACATTGTGAGACAAGGCACTTGGTTTTATAATTATCCTACAAAAAGAATGAGAGTGTGGTGCTGTGATTTCTGTTGGTTTTCGCAGGGAACTTGACCATCCTAATCTCTGCAAATTCATTGGAGGTTGTATAGAAGTTCCAAATGTTGCCATTGTCACAGAGTACTGCCCCAAAGGCAGCCTGAGTGATGTTCTGCTCAATGAAGACATTCCTTTGAACTGGGGCTTCAGGTAAAAAAAAAATTTTGAAAAGCTAAATCACAGAAACCATGCTATATGCTGTTTAAGACAAAACATTAATTTTAGATAAAGTGTTTGGATAGACAGGCCTGTACTCTGATATGGAAAGAATGAAGAAGAAAGAAAGCAAGCAAATTCAAATATCCAGTCCAACTTGTCTTCTGGGGTTTTTTTGAGGAATCATATATTTAGTACTCGTCATGCTAAGCCAATGACTTTTCAACTCTTTCTCTAGTTACACTGCAAAGTTGTTTTACAAACATTTTTCCCCATGTAACTTTATTTTGTTCCCAAATATCTTGGGCATCCCTATTTAGCTAAAAATCACTGCATCTTTGTTTGTGAAGACATATTCATGAAATGGTTAGCAAACCTACAAATGCTTGATTATACTTACCAATACAGGAAATGAGCTCACATTGTCAAGAAGCTTTCAAAAAACAATGACTTTGTTTTTTGAGTTTGATCTTCTTGGCATGCTGCTTCTGCTTCTGCCTTATGTTTGCCTTCAGCAAAGAAAAACATTTTCAGGAAGGAAACCATCCAAATAAAGTGAGGAAGTTAATAAAACTGTTTCTTTTGTAAACATTTGAAATCACTCTCAAGGACACAAAGGTCCTGGCAAATTCTCAAAGAAACTCAACTGCCTTAATAGAGGCTCAAGGCATGTGGGCTCAGACAAATGAGTGGGAGTTAAGGGCTGTCAGCAACCCACTTTAACTGTTTTTGTAAAATGAGCATGGGAACACAAATTGAAAGCTATAGGGAGGGTTTCTGTAAACTTCAATAGGCTTTGGAGCCACTCTTAAGTGAAGGTTTAGTGGAAATACTGGCTCACTGATTTCTGTCTTTCAGGTTTTCTTTTGCTACTGATATTGCACAAGGAATGGCCTATCTTCACCACCACAAAATGTATCATGGACGGTTGAAGTCTAATAACTGTGTGATAGATGACCGGTGGGTTTGTAAAATTGCAGGTAAAGAAAAGATAATAAAAAAAAATTAAAATCTGTCCAGATAACCCACTAATGTATATAGATTTCATGACATTTCATGTTGAATTGCTACTGTACTTCACTAGAAGTGCTCTGTGCTGAAGCAAATTTCATGCTATATTATCAAGTCAAGTCATTTAATATGTGTCACTGGTGCACACATCAGATCCCACAAATGAGGGAGTCTGTCAATTTCAGTCTGAGCAGAAACTCTGCCTCATTCTCAGTTTTGGTGCAGAGAGAAAACCTGAACCATGGACAGTGCTGTACAAACATGTAATAATGCTGACTGATTGGTAAACACAAGATAGTTTCATGGAGATAGGCAGACTCAACCCTGAGCTTTTGAGTCCTGTACACAGAACTGAATTGTATTTGCTCACAGAGCGACACGTCAGGTCTGCTCCTGGTACAGGAAGACAGCTTGTGGGAACAGGAGAACCACTGGAGAGTGCAGCTGCCAAAGGGAGTGAAGGCCATGATCATCTCCTTGACTTCCTCCCCAAAGCAGTTATCACACTCTCTAACCCATAGCCATCCTAAAGGCAGCAGCAACATATTTGTTTTTCAGTGGTACATCCTATGACTAAGGCTTCTACACAGAAGTAGGACCAGGCCTACTTCTCCAACTCATTTGGTATCCTGCTGCCTTCAGAGCTGCCTGCTCTGTTTAGAGCCAGTTCTGGAGAAAAGCATAAAAATCAGATACAGTTGGATTACATCAACAGCATCACCTTAGCATAGCTCCTTTCAGTTAAGTAGGATCTATGTGAAATTGTTCAGAAGTTATATGGTATCACTGTAGAGATTTAAAATTTTCACAGTTTATCTGGATGTGATAATGTCAAAAAAACCCTCACAAATAACTAATGTGTGAGCTATTTGAAAAATTGCCTCAAACATAAAAAATTAATCTGTAGGCCTATCTTAATTAGAGGCCACTCCAGACAAAAACAGACATCCGCATCCAACCTTCCCGTACACTCACCAGAGTGCAATTTACGTAAGAAAGAAAACTGAAATCAGATGTTTTCTTCCTCCTCCCTGATTCTGAGTCACATGCTGAGAACTCTTCTATGTTAGGTTACAAGTATAGATGGAAAGATGTTTCATATCTGTGCTGCCTTTGTTCAGATGCTAGTGGTGTGCAGTAAGACTCACCATCTAATTTTCAGTCATTAGTCTATCTAACTAGTAATTATGTTGGCAACCTGCTACCAGAGACAAGGATCAAGGGACAAAGTAGAAACCTCCATTTACATGTTAACTCTTGCACTGAGGTAGCCTATTATCTGAATATAATTTGATAAAATCATAAAATAATTCTGATTGGAAGGGGTTATATGCAGTCTTGCTCAAATAATTGTTTTCCAGTTGCTATATTTGCAATTGTTTTGTGAGCCAAGACCATTCAAAACACTATTTCTAGACTAAGATGTGTATTTAAAATACTGAAAATTAATTCTTTTAGACTACTTGTATTACTGTCTACTAATGTATTACTAAAAGCACTGAATCGTTTGCTTCCCGTTTTCTTTCATGTTAGATTATGGTTTGCAGTCATACAGAAAAGAAGATTCTCCTAAGGAATCAAGCTCATACCAGCAGCTTTGGGCACAGATTTATACAGCTCCTGAAATACATTCCCTTTCAGACTTTGAACCCAATTCTATGACAGATGTCTACAGGTAGTTAAATTTTCCTGATCTCACACTTCATAATCTCATCTTGACTATTCTTTAATAACAATTAGACTCAGTGTAATTCTATAGTCACTACGGGTATATGTTTGATTGCATTTTTAAAAGGATTGATCCTGGAATACAGAACAGCATAGATATCACAGGATCTTGTTTTTCAAGGTAGATAACCAAATACTGTATTTACTGGCACTCTGTAAATGCAGAGGTTGCCAAATGATTTATAAAGAATCACTCTAGACTGGTAGATAAAAAGGCATAAAGCTCTGCTATTAGCTAGTTATCCTGTTTCTCCCTGTTGCTGTTTCTTAATAAAAGGTAATTATTTTTCAATAATGGCAATATCTTAAAAGTTAATAGCATCAGTATTCCAGGACATCATAATGCACATATGCATCCTACAATTCCGTAATTAATGTCAATACATTATTTTGCTGTATATATACAGTGACAATATTTGGTTTACAGAGAAAAAAGAAAGGTAAGAAAAAGAAAGGGATGCACTAGTGAATAGCTCCATCCCTTGGAGCCTTTCTAGAAGATCACTTTGCAATGGTTTATTTGGCTATCAGGTTTAGCTTCTCTCCAACCACTTTTCAGATAAGTGGGATTACAACTGTAAACAAATCTATGTGTTTTCAATGTGCTAGAACTTAATTTTAATCCATTGAATCAGATTACCTAAGCAAGAATTTGAGGTCTCAATAGTATTTGTATCTACAGGCTTTAATATGTCCTTAGAATTTGCTTCAAGATAGCCCAGCTAGAGGTAGTTTGTGATTGTGTTGGTATTTCTGGCTACTGTCATTTGTCCTGTGTCAACCTCTACTTTTTCAATATGGAGTGGTCTTAGAAAGTACTGTGCTCCAAGTAAACAATAATTTTAGGATTGTCTTATACATTCCAGTTTATCATTGCCACACAGACAAAATGCATCCCAGAAAATGTTTCCTTGGCTTGTCTGTTCTCACTTTGCTCCTGTTTAGGACAGATATTATTACTGGACTTTGCAGGCAACTTAGCCTCCTGGAGGCAAGGGTTCTCCTTAAAATAGTCCTAAGATTTGATCTGCTCATATCATATGTGACTACAATGAACTTTTTAAATGAATCAATGAATGGTCCCCGAATCTATATTGCTGTCAATTTGTGTGCCTGCAAAATCCAGGTCTTCTTTTGTGGTACTGTACTTACTCCTTTCTAAAAAAAAAAAAAAAGGTATACAATAGTAAGAGATAAAATCAGAAGCAGAAGAGCAACACACAGACAGGGAAGGTAGAGATGTATCCTGTAGCATTAAAAGAGTTGTCATCTTATCTGGGCTATTATGCAGAATCTGCATTTTAACAAATTTTGTATTTGATGATATAAACAGGGCTAAGCCTTCCTAATACATGTATGTGGGCTCCCTGGCCAAGGAGAAGTGACTCAGTCTTGAAATCCTCAGTTTACATCTGTGAAAAAATTATATTTATATTCCTGAAGGTATGGCCCAAATAAAATATCAGTATAAACTGCAGGAGTGTGACTTGTAATTTAGGGTGCTCTTAAAGATGAATCACTTGCTTTTAAAGTTTTCCAGGTAAAGTGTTGGTCAGACGGGAAAGCTAAAATGGAAATGAGAACAGGAGCATGAAAGCAGCTCCTGTTTTGAGCTGAAGAGACTGCTCCCAGTCACAGGTTCTCCTAGATCGGCTTCTCTTGATTTGTATCATTATGTGCATCTCACTATTCCCTATGTTAGGACTTTTTTTAGAAGTGCTGCTGAAGCTGAATTAAATCAACACTGCTTTATCAGAGTTATTGTCATCTAATTACTCTCCTTTAAAATTTGTTTCAGCTTTGCTGTCTCACCAGAATTGATATTGCTTTCTACTACTAGATCACCCCAAAATTAACATAGAAATCTCATCATATTAATTTCTAAATTTTTCAGCATGGGTTATATGCATTATTTTATCTGCCAGTGGTGGTCCACAAGTGGACTGAAAGATAGATAGACATATCCCCCTTATACAGCCAGAATGTCTTACAGAACAGAGCAACCATTAGCAATGCAACAGATTGCAAACCAATATTCTCCAAATGTTACTAAGCAGAGATGCATGCAGAGAGTTAATTATTACACAGTTTCAACAAATAAAGAGACAAGATCTTTATCAGGCTGGCTGACTGGAGGAGGTGCTCGCTTCATGAAGATCACTGTTCTAAAAGAGCTCTAGTGAGTTCAAAAAGGAAACTGAACACTCAGTTGTTAGTCTATCTTTTTCCATTCTTCACTTTGATGAATATGTTTGACCTTGGTTCAACTGAGGAAGATTATGATAATAAAAATATAATTCAGAAGGAACAAGCAGAAATGCTTGCTGTAAAATATCTACTCTGAACACAGTGTGTCATCATTGACTTCATGGAGATTTTCCAGGACAGTGATCTATGCTGAAAATAAGCCAATCCTCCAACTGATCATCCTGATGAACCTGCTCCTGCCCCTTAAGTGGAGCCTAAATCAGTCTTGTTTAATTGGTAGGTATCATGTATATATCCCTGCACATATCCCCTCTGGATTCTATTACTTTTCCAGAGAAAATTGCTTTGCTGTACATCAAACTCAAATGCTTCATCTCTGTGCCTGGTAATTGTGAGCGAATAATAGTATAAAATGTTCAGTAACTGATTTCTGAAAACACAACATAGTAACAGATAGCAGCAATATTGCTGTCCTTGCTTCTGGAATACTGGGCTTTCAGTCATAGGATGGAGAAGGATAAGAAATCATGGAAATATTTCACTGACTCCATTAACTGTTATTTCATTAGGATTTTGCTTTGCTTTTATTCTGCAGTTATGCCATCATTTTACTAGATATTGCCACAAGATGTGACCCTATGCCAGTAAGTAAAGATTAACTGACTTTGAAGTTTGCATGACAACTTTGATTCTGTTTCTGCTGCCAAACTCTGAGTAACTGCACCTCTGAGTTACTTTTTGAGCATGCATTTTCCTTGTGATTTTATGGGTGCAAGTTCCCGTGGAACTTGTAGTTAGGGTTTCCTCATGCATCTGCTGGTCTTCCCTTCAGAACTTTGAAGGAGGGCGTGTGATAAAACTGTCTTTTGATTACTTCTGTGAGGCTTAATAGCAGGGGAGGTGCAGAGGGAATGTATGTCCTAACATCTTCCCTTTGCACCTGTTGTTCCTTCCTGCCATGCACAGGTCGTTTTAGTAGAATCTTGCTCTCTCCATAAGGAAAATGTCTATTTTGCATGTGTCTCAAGATCAGTGATATATGGCAAACACACACAAAAAGATGCGCTTTGAAATTGAAATCAGATGGTCTGGATTGTAACCATTTTCTGTCTGAAATAATTTGCTTCACAAGAATTCTAACAATGAAGACCTGAAACTACCATTTTTCCATTTCTGACAGTTTGTGATAGTAGAGCAGTGTAGGCCTTGTGGTTTCTTAAACGTTTCCCGTTTTCTTGCCAGGTGTTCATTTGTTTCAAATGTTGTTTCTCTCATAAACACAAAAGATTAAAGCCTTTCAGCCATGAAAAAGATTTCAAACAAGGTGACCCAATTTAGACTGAGTTATATTTGCTTTTCTATCCTTTTTTATTTTATTTTTTCCCTTGTACTCTTATGCAAAAAAGCTGACCTGGAACTGATGGAGAAGATGTTATAAAGGTAGTGATGATAATAGTAATATATTTTGAATGGCTGGTATAAAAACTATACCTCTTGTTCCAACCTTATTTAATTCCCTTTTGTCTAGAAAGATGATGTGCATGCAGCTGAATATTCCTGGTGTCCACCTTTGGCAGAATTAATTTCAGGAAAGGCTGAGAATTCTTGCCCATGTCCCACAGATTACATAGAAGTGAGTAAGATACAGTACTGTGTACAGAAGTTCTTTATTGAAGTGAATTTAAGACATGACACAGGTGTTCTATGGCACTATTACCTTTGATGAATGTAAATATCCCATATATCAAGAAGTACACCTCAAACAAGGCACAATGAAATGATTTAATAAAAAACCTTTCATTGTGACAATGATTCAGTTGTCCCCTCAAATTGTCAGTGTAATAGAGTATGTTTTTAACACTCAATCATTGAATTTTGTTCTTTTTCATTTTATTATGAAGTGTTGAATTCCATACATATCTTACGTTAGTAATATCTATTTAGCTTGCTGGCAAAGGGCTTCCAAATAATAAAGTCTTTGTCTCAGGAAAAGTATGAGTTTGGTTTGATTCTCATGCAACAGGTCTATGTGCAATAGCCTCAAACTGTCTCATAAAGTACACTCTCTCCCAGTTCAATTAAATCATAACAAGATTGCAGCATCTATTTCAGTTTAAGAGCAATATAATTAAACTTTATGAGTTTGCAGCAACCTAAGTGTAATAAACTTCTCATTACCAGCACCAAACTTTAGTCAGGAGTTAACATTCTTAGAGGAGTAGTTGAGTTTTTAATCTTTTGGAAATTTCATGTACAGACAAGTCCTCAGAAAACAGTATGTGACTCCAATAGCATACCACTGTCTTAAAGCACAAGACGAGCTTAAACAGTGTTCAGAAGAAGTAACATATGTATCTACTTCATGGCTTCCCGCAGCAGCATTTTCATGAAGCAGCATCCTTCATTCATCAAAAACTGTGGAACTCCAGGGACCTCAGTGTAGCTCTGCCACTTTTCATAAGTTGCAGATAGGGCTTCACATGACCAGTTTGCACTAAGAAAATAATAGCATTAATTTAAAACACTGCCTGTTTTTGAAATGATAGAAAACTGTTTGCTTTTCTCACTCTCTATTCCCTTCTGAATCAGAAGGTGCAGAAAAAATAATCCATCCCAAAGGCCTACATTTGAACAAGTCAAGAAAATGTTGTACAAGATGAATCCTAATAAAGTTAGCCCTGTTGACATGATGATGACTCTGGTAAATTTAGTTTTTTATTCCAATCCAAGTTAATCTGCTCACTTGCAATAACTTTCACCTCTATCCTTTGGGTCTCACCCTTGTTGGTGAGAAAAAGAAAAAATAATCCATCCCAAAGGCCTACATTTGAACAAGTCAAGAAAATGTTGTACAAGATGAATCCTAATAAAGTTAGCCCTGTTGACATGATGATGACTCTGGTAAATTTAGTTTTTTATTCCAATCCAAGTTAATCTGCTCACTTGCAATAACTTTCACCTCTATCCTTTGGGTCTCACCCTTGTTGGTGAGAAAATCCAGTTATTTGTTCACCTCTGGTGGGCTGATGGTAGTTGCAGTTCTACTTGAAATGCAGCTTTCCTTCTTATTCTATTTCTGCCTTTTTTTTTCTTAACTTTCTCAACTTCTTTCGGGCTGAACACTTTTCTTCAGTCAAATGTGGTTTAGTTTTTAATGCACTCACAGGAAACTATATTCCAGTTTTCCCATGGCTTAGTCTTACAGTACCAGGGGTATATAAACCCTGCATGCCACAAATAGTATGTTTACAGCTGCGTTTTGAGCAGACTATCTCAAAGCCCATCAGCAGAGAAAGGAGATTCTTGCTTCCACAGCATGTTTCCTCACACAGAGGAAGGATACAAAAATAAGCAAAGCATAAAATAGCATAGCAAAATAGTTTACAGAATCACAAAATTACAGAATCAGCCAGCCTGGAAGGGGATCATCAGTGGACCACAGTGGGTTATCTGGTCCAACCTCCCTGCTCAAGTAGTGTCATCTAGAGCACATGGCATAGGATTGCATCCAGATGGTTCCTGAGTATCTCCAGTGAGGGAGACCTCACAACCTCACTGGGCAATCTGTTCCAGTGCGCAGTCACGCACAGAGTAAAGAAGTTTTTCCTCATATTCAGGTGGAACTTCCTGTGTATCAGTTTCTGCCCATTGCTTCTTGTCTTGACATAAACAAGAAGAGTCTGGCTCCATCTTCTTGGCACTCCTCCCCCCAATGATTACCCCAGTGTTTACAAATACTAGTGAATTATGAACATGGTCACCTCCAATGTTTACAAAAGAGTATTGTGAGCTTTTGACAAAAGACTGAGACTTAGATATCTTTTGTTTTGGTGAGATTTTAATCCATGCCTGCAGCTTGGTCTCTGCATTGGATTTGACCCCTAAAGTTTACATGAACTTTGAAAAGCCTGAAATTGGTTTCTGTCCTCTTATGTGTAAACAGTAATCTCAAATCTGGATTCATAAATTTGCCTAGGGAGAAATCTTATCTTTGGATTTTGTAAAAAAGTTAGGTATCTTAGAACTGAGCTTTTCCTTATCTGAAAGTTTGCAAAGCAGAATCATTCAAATGCTTAAATCCTATCCAACTGTGAATCTATTTTGGTAAAAATATTATTTTATGTGATTCTCTGTGTTATTTAGATGGAGAAATATAATAAACATCTGGAAATACTGGTTTCTGAGAGAACCCAGGATTTAATGCATGAAAAACAGAAGACTGATCGTCTGTTGTATAGTAAGTTAAAAAGCAAAAATACTGGACATTCTTCTCAATTATACTTTTATTTGAGCTGTCTAATTGCAAACAGAAACCCTTTGATAGGTGATTATTTAACCGATAACATTTAGTTAGTAATGAATATGCTCGTTCCTTGCAAAGCTGGAAATATATTTAGCTACTTTCTATATTTTCCTTCTAGTAAACAGTACACTCATCTGAGAGCTACGACCCCAGTGTCCAAATTGCTCTGACTTTGAATTTGCTTGGCAGACATTCTGTATAGTTATAAATGTTGGGGGATTCCAGTTGAACCGAAGTTACTTTTGGTGACAGTGTGTCTTCTGGAATTCTGCAAGAAAAAAAGGCATAAAAGAATAGGAATAACACGTAGAAGAGAAAAAAAGAAAAGGATGTGAAAGTGCAAGACAGGAGAAATAAAGAAGATTAAAACAAAAAAACAAACCAGACAAGGGATAATAAACAAACCTAACACGGGTAGAAAGCGCTAGCAAAGATTTGACAAAAACGGAATTAGTAAAATCCCAAGTCACTCTATTATAATCCAAACTTAGGCTTCCTTGGAATGTATAGATAGTGGGTTGTTTGAACTAAAAGTTATGGACCATCTGAAAAATCTGGACATGTTATCAGTGAGATATACAGTGAATTATCACATTACAGCAGAGCAGAGTTTGGTGCCAAAGTCTGTTTTCACCTTTATAATATTTTGCATTTATTATCATTGCTTGTACCTTTAAACAAACACGTTATGCTTAATGTATGCTTTTATCCATGTCAAAAGAGTAACAACACTCTACTTTTTATGACAGGTATGTTACCGAAACAAGTAGCAGACGATCTCAGGCAGGGAAAACCTGCACAAGCTCAAAGTTACTTAAGTGCCACCATCTTTTTCAGGTAAACAAAGATGCAAGATGACTAGAATTGACTACTAATGAAGAAACTTATAGGCTTCTAGGGGAGGTGAAGCTTCTCACCAAGTACAGAATTCCTATCTAAACTGCCATCTATTGTACCTGGTGCCTCTGCAAAAGAGTGCCTTTCAAAATTTTCACACCTCTCCATTTTTCATTACAATTACTTAAATAAAACACACAGCAGCACATCACTTTACATGTGCTACACATGCATGCATGTATGTTACATAAGATAGGCCTAAGTAAAGCTGTGTAAAGGAAACCTGTCTATCCTTAGAATCCGTGTGATTTTGCAGTTTTAATTTCTTACGTGTGCATAAAACAACATATAAATGATATGTCATTACTTGTCATAAAGGAACAGATATCAAGTTCCATTTTTCTGTTTGTACATAACCCACAGTTGAAGCCTACTGAGTCTGTCACAGATTAAAGTCTACCTGTAAAAATGGTTTTCTACACTGGGAAACAAAAATACTTAGGTCAGTCTGTCCTTTTAAATGGAAGGAGTCTGCTGTCAATTTAAATAAATTAAGACAGAACTATTCCATAAGATCCTTAGTGAAAGAAATACTGAAAAAGAGAAGGTTCAGGTAATTCCACTGAGAAATTATTACTGTGTTAACGATTACCAATCTGCAATGGTTAAGACAGTCAAAAAGTTTGTTCTTTCTGTTATGTTTTAACAGTGACATTGTTGGCTTCACTCAACTGTCTAGCAGCAGCACACCGTACCAAGTGGTAGATCTCTTGAACAAGCTTTATACCACTTTTGATGAAATCATAGATAACTATGATGTCTATAAGGTGGAGACAATAGGAGATGCCTGTAAGTTCCTTGAGCTGTGGACAATGATGGGGCATGGGGCATCAGGATAGAGACTGATTTAATGACAAGGAAGAACAGATGAAGGAGGTTTGGAAAGTTTGTTACCACTGGGAAGACCACATAAACCAATTAGAAGATAAGTCCTATCTGAGCCCTAGCAAATTTTAGGAACATTTTCCTGCATACCCTGGATCATTTCTACAAGTGATGAGTGTTATGTTTGGGACAAATGAATTGAGTAAAATACCACTACTGTTTATTTGGCTTCTATGATCTGTAAGGTCTGACTTTAAACCTTGGCAGCAGATTAATCCCACTTGGCAACTTCTGTTTCACAGGAACATAACTGAAAAATTTATCTTCTACATGGGATCATAGAGAAGCTGTATTTTTTGCAAAGACCATGACAACCTTCTTTCTCCTAATGCTCTGTAGGGGGTCAACTGCCTCTTCTCTTTGGATTTTTAGGAAAACATGTTAATAATTGCTACCATGGAAATCTGCTGAGGATTGACTAGCATTAAAATTGAGTTCCATCAAAAATCTAACAGAATATAGCAGGACTTTTGGAGGAGACAGACAGGAAGTCCTATAAGAGATGTGGAAAAAAACCCCACTTTTCTCTTTCTGTGGCAAGGTTGAGCACATCCTTGAAAATAAAATTCCTGAACAAATGCACCCAAGAGATCCTGAAGAGACCCGTTTCTTGTCCTATGCATGGATTCAAACAGTCAAAGAGTCATAGAATCGTGGAATATCCTGAGCTGGAAGGCATTCACAAGGATCATCAAGTACCACTCCTGGCCCTGCACAGGTCAGCGCGAAGAATCATGCCATGTACCTGAGGGCATTGTCCAAACCCTTCTTGAATTCTGGCAGACTTGGTGCCATGACCACTTCCCTGGAGTGCCTGTTCCAGTCCTTAACCACCCTCTGGGTGATGAACGTTTTCTAATATTCAAACAAAAGCTTCTCTGACACAGCTTCATGCCATTCCCTTGAGTCATGTCACTGGTCACCAGAGAAGAGACTGGTGCCAGCCCCTCCGCTTCCCCTTGTGGGGAAGCTCTAGAGTGCTATGAGGTCTCCCCTCAGTCTCCTCTTCTCCAGGCTGAACAAGGCAAGTGACCTCATTCAATCCTCATATGGATGCCCCTCTAGGCCTTTCATCATCTTAGTAGCCCTCCTTTGGATGCTTTCTAGTAACTTTATATCTTTCTTATATTGTGGTGCCCAATACTTCACACAGGACTCAAAATAAGGCCACACAAGCACAGAACAGAGCAGGATAATCACTTCCCTTGACCTGCTGGCAATGCTGTCCCTGATGGACCTCAGGACATGGTTGGCCCTCCTGGCCACCAGGCCACACTCCTGACTCATATTCCACTTATCACTGACCAGGAGCACAAGGCGCCCTTCCACAGGGCTGGTCTCCAGTGTCTTGTTCCCAAGTCCGTACATACATCCAGGGTTGCCCTGTCCCAAAAGCAGATGTTAAACATCATGCAGTTGGTGACTGCCCAACCCTCTGATTTGTCAAGGTCTCTCTGCAGGGCCTTTCTGCCTTTGAGGCAATTTAGTGTCTTCACCAAACTTTCTTAACAGACATTTCAGTCCTGCATCAAAGTCATTTATGAAGATCTTGAAGAACTATTATGGCTGTGATCAATGACTCTGTTGTCCTTCAGGTGTTTTTCAAAAAGTCCCAGAATAATTCTCTCCATTATTTTACCTATCACTGAAGTGACCTTGACAGGTCTGTAGTTTCCAGGGTCATCCTTCTTGCCCTTCTGGAAAATTTGAACAACTTTTTCCAGCTTCCAGTCAACTGGGACCTCTCCAGATTTCCAAGACCACTCAAATCATTGAGAGAGGTCTCACAATGATTTCAGCCAGCTCTTTTGAGTGCTATTGGATAAACACCATCAGGCCTCATAGACACAGGAATCCAGCTGGAGCAGCAAATCCCACGTAAGTTCAGGGCTTAGTGGGAATTTATCATTCTCACAATCCTGGTCCCCTGGCTCAGCACCCTGGAACCCCCAGAGCCCATCATCAGTGTTGAAAGTATAGTACAGTATGCATAGGACAATATCTAGTTGGAGTTATTTTCTCTTTTTTTAATATCTGCCCAAAGACAAAAGGTACTGAACAGCCACACTTCCATTACCTGTCCCACTTCAAGCATTCTCAGTGAAGGGAGAGAGGGAAGGAGGGAGAAAGAAAGAAAGGGTTGGAGGGATAAATCTTGCATAAAAGTAAGAAGGAAATCCAACATTTTTCACAGCTAGGGTAATTACACCCATAGGCTATTGCCTTAGCCTTCTTTTGTTTCTGGCTTTCTCTACTCAGGAGGCACAACTGTGCCCCAGGATATGAAGGAGTAGAGCTCTTTTGTTTGGCTTTTGTTTGGTTTTGTTTGGGTTTGGTTTTGTTTTTGGTTTTTTTATAAAAAAAATTTTAGCCAGCATCCTGTGGTAAATCTGTGTGTAATGCCGAAGACTAACACAGTTGCATTGTTGTGTTAAGATATGGTGGTGTCAGGGGTACCCAGAGAGAATGGGATCCTTCATGCCGGTGAGATTGCAAGCATGGCTTTAGACCTTCTGGATGTCTGCAAGACTTTTAAGATCCCACACAAGCCCAACACCCTCCTTAAGATAAGAGCAGGAATCCATTCAGGTATGTTGAGGGAGCTGTAAAAGAGTCTTCCTCTGGCTTCTTTAGTGGCCATTTCCTCTCCATTAAAAATGAAGTTAATTTCTTGATATGGGATGGGACACCTCATAGAGGTCATGTAAACATAAATTATTGCATGCATGGAATATTGGTAACTTAATGCAGAATACAACATTGAAAATACCCCACAGCCCCAGTGCCTTTGCTGATGTGGGAATAGCTATTCTGTGTCTGTTACTAGTCCGTTTCAGCTGTTGTCTTCTCAGTGAGTTATTTCTTGATGCTTTTGATCTAGCCTTCACCTTCAGACTCCCAGCTCCCTGATCTAATCTGATGTGTGATTTCAACTCCCTCTTAATAGACAGCCAGAGTTGGATAAGTCCTGTGCAACCCAGCATATGCCAATTAATCAGCATAAATTGTCTTAGCAAGAGATTGCATCTTCTCTGTTTTAAATCCCTTGGGGCTAACATGAGGGAATCAAGATGCTAATTTTCTCCCTT